TTTACAAGAAATGTTTATTATATCGATCTGTTATGTACATCTTGAGTATTCCATAATCTTGGAGTCAAATCTTTTATAGTCATAAAAAAATATAACTGTTATTCGTTTTAAAATAACGCCTGTAATACTTAGCAATTGTTCGATTTCGAGCAACAAGGACACTAGTAAATATATAAATATATATATATATATATATATATGAATTTGAACGGATGGTGTTTTTGGCCTCTAGGGACCTCAAAACGAAAAAAAAAATCGGTCCCGCGTCCAGGTCTTACCATGAGTACTACGGTAATAGCTTATTCCCTATATGGGAAATTCGCTAAAAAAAAAGAAATGGAGGGTTGAATGGGATTTTGCTTAAGATTCATAGTAAAAGTTAAAACTTTTAACGAAGACACAAATTAAAAAAATATTAAGAGCCTTAGGTAGCAGAGCTTTGCTGAAGGTATCAAAATTATCAAAAAGACTCAAGCTTAATTATCAAATAAGCTTCAAAATGATGTATAATAACATTTAGTTACTTTCACATTGCATAATGAAATTCTGGCATCATTGTGAATAATCATAGTAATTATTAATTGATATAGAATTAATTGTTGTATAAAACGTCATGTACTTTCCCCCGAGACATACCATGTTTACTCTATAGTCGTGGTACTACCGTCATTGTAATTCACTCTTTGAAGTGTTTCATCTGCCCACACAGTATTTGCCCTAAAATTAATGATATTTAAATATAAAAAAATTAAAAATATGATATTTAAAAAATTCTAGTAGTATGGCGGTGGCAGCAATTGTGGAGGGCTTTATTTGTAGTGCAGATATGCATGGCGTCAAGTATAAAGATTTAGTAGCGGACGGAGGCAGCAGTGCGTACCAACGGATTTTGGAAGTGCGTCCTTATGACAACTATCAAGTTGAAAAGATTGAATGTAGGAATCATTTGTTACGCAACTTTTGCAATAGAATAAAGGAAATAGCTACAACTGTCTGAGATCAAAACGCCGACAAAGCGACCTCATCAGTCATGAGATTATGTACTGCTGTTGTCAAAGCTATTGAATACAGGAAGAAAGGAATTGACACTATAGAAGAAAAAGGCTAAACAGTTGAGAGAAGACATAATCAATGAGCCTAGCCATGTTTTTGGTGAACACCGATGTTGTAGTGAACTTAATTACTTTTGCAAAAAGACTGAAGCAGATGAATTAAATTACGTTCCAGTTATGAGGCAGTGTGGACAATACCGAAAAGTAATGGCTGCCGTTGATGCGCTTGCCGATCAGAGCAGACACCTTATTCAATATTGATACACCTTATATTGATAGCAATGTTGTAAAGCACTATAATGCTGCGGTAGCCCAATCTATAGGACGGAAAAGAGTAAACTTTTACTTGGAAGGTTCATATCAAGCTAGATGTGCTGCAGCAGTAGTACATCACAACTCAGGACGCTCCTACTATAACCTTTACGAACACAATGTTCAAGAACAGCCCGGGAAAGTATGGCAAACAATCCAAGGAACGAGCTAGAAGATGCGTTCTATTGGCAAGACTAACGAGAGATCAAAAACCTAAAGCTAGGCGTTCTTTGATCACAAACACGCTTAAAAACAAAGATGAACATTATGGACCCTTGTGTATAAAGCCTGACTGAGATGCAGATGTGTATGAGTGAAAGGTTGCAAACCATATGAAGAACCTCCAGTTACCTGAAGATGATTGGCGTAGGCTAGAAGAAAACACAAGGGATCAGTATAACAGTGAGCTGTAGTGAAAAGAGCGGATAATCTGTCTTACAGCGTCAATCTTGACATTGACAATCTTGACATCGACAATCCTCCATTGCCTCAACCAGGTACTTCTGCTGCAACTGAGGACGTTCCTAGAGCTTCTAGGCATATAACTGAACCATCTAAAGGTAAGGCGTCCATTTGGAAATACTACCCAAAAGTTGACTAAGTTCATTCAAAATGTTTAAGCTGTAACAAAGTGATAAAATGTCTATATGGCTCTACTACTGGTATGCAGAAACATTTGGAAAGAGCTCATCATTCAACCTTCGTGAAATTAGAAAAAGGACTTACAAAAAAAGAAAAGTGAATCATTCACTCTTGTAATTAAGGAGATACCTGCACCCAAAATGGCTAAAATTTACACCTTTTCAAATAAAAAAAAAATATGGTCCTCAGCATCCAAAAAATATAATGTTAAGAAATGCTGTATCAAAGTGGGTCGCCGATTGACTTCATCCCTTTACAATCACCGAAGGGCCTGGTCTAAGGGAAATAATAAATATTGCTGATACTAAATTAACTATTCCGTCTTCAACCACAGTCTCGAGGACACTGATGCCTCAGATGTACTCAGAAACTAAAAAACCAGTGGTATTAATTTCAGAGGAAAACTCGACATCAATATCAGTGAAAACAGATATGTGGACATTGTAATCCACCTTGTCCTTTTTAGCTGTCACAGCCCATTTCATGGACCAAGGTCTGCAAATGAAAAGTTTTTGTTTGGCTTGGCAAACGTTCAAAACAAATACTGCGTTACTGACAATGCACGGAACATGAAAACAGCCATAGCATGGAGCATTTGTTGTGTTTTGCCCACACATTGAATTTGGTCATAAAAGATGTCAAGAAAAACCTAAGTGGTTTTGAGGCTCTTATTAAGAAATGTAGATCCATTATGGGCCATTTTAAACACAGCCCCACTGCAAAGGCTGCGCTACATATGAAGCAAAATCAACTAGGACAAGCGAAGCTAGAGCTGATCCAAGACGTGGAAACTCGCTGGAATAGCGAGTATTTGATGATGGAGAGACTTTTAAAAGTCAGAGAGCCTCTGTGTTTGGTTCTCTCAAGACCAGAGTGCTGTGTTGAAAACCTTTCCTCACATGATTGGGGCATGGTAGAGGCATACGTGGAAATCTTAAAACCATTGTATGACACAACATGTGAAGTATCCTCATATAAGAAACCCACACGAAGCATGGTCATTCCTACTGGAATTATGATAGCAAAACCTTTATTACAGGCAATGTCAGCTCGATTCCCAATGTTTGATCAAGTGCTACCGGATCAGCTATGCATGTCAATGGACCCAAGATTTAAGGATCCGGTTTTAGATCCCTGTGTTAAAAATGCGGCCAGGGAAACCATCAAAATGGAACTTAGAACAAATGATGCCACACAAATTCCATCCGGACAATCAACAAAGAATGATGATTTATCATCAAGAAATCTCTCAAGTGTTTGGGCAGCCTTCTTAAATGTAACGAAGCAAGCAGAGAACACTGGTCAAAGTTTTTACCAGGATCAAGCCCAAGGTAATTTTATTTCATTAGCATTGTTAACATGAACTTGTATTTTTCATTGTGTACCTCATCGCTATATATAGATGTAGCCTAATAAATTAATAATACTGTACATGCAAATAAACTATTAAACTTTGGGCATAGAGTTTTCATAGCTTTGTAACTTACCTTGGGTTACATCTTGATTTATTCATATAGGCTACTTGCGTTTTTTTACTAAAACAACTTAACTATGTTGGCCACTCACCATCTTAACTTGGTAGGTAGGTTCTTTATCGTTAATAATTGGCTTTCAAAAACAATCCTGGGAAAAAAACTGTTATAATAATGGTAACCGCGTACCGTACCGATTTTGTACCGAAAACCGAGGTAAAAGAATGTACCGTACAGAACCGTACCGACCTTAAAATTTCTGTACCACAGACCCCTAATTATGTTTTAAATATGTACAGTTCAGAGCTAATTTGGTTAATGCAAGTAAGTTTACACTCACGTGTGCTTCATAAGATGATATAGATTTAGGCATGATGTCATATTTGTGTGACTGACTTAACAGTCAGTCCTTTATTTAGGTAAGGGTCTATTGTAATCGTATGTTGCTAAATGGCAATAAAGATTAGTATTATTATTATTATTATTAAGCTTGATTTATTTATGTAGCCTTCTTGTGTATTGTTTGTTAATTATTTTACAGTAATTTTCAATATTATGTTTACTGTAAATAATAGTGTAACGATTTATATTTCATTTAACGCAGAGGATACGCGTCCGGTAACCGGACGTGGATTAGGCGTCCGGCAGTTACTGTCATAACCTAACCTAACCAACCAAACTTGCTGATAGTGAAAAAAATCAAATGAAGGTTCCATTCTCATCATAACATAAAATTATAAATGCCAAAAATTCTAACAAAAGATGTACAGTTAAGAAGAATTACATTCAAAGAAAAATCTGTGACAAAAAGTTAAAGTTACCGATAGGTTTCGAACCGGGGACCTCTCGCATATCAGTCGAGCACTCTATCCACTACACCACGAACACTGATGGCTGAACATCGTATCATTGTGGTAATGGCGTTCCGGGACCCCCTACCGGACGCCTAATCCACGTCTGGTTACCGGACGCCTAATCCACGTCCGGTTACCGGACGCGTATCCTCTGTGTTCATTTAAACTTATCAGTAAATGTCACAGTGCTACCCTTCCCACAAGTATCCCCTTATGGTATGCCGCTCCGCTCGACAACCGTTCTGCGTGTAGCGTAATCGCCACTTGGCTACTTGCCGTTCTCTAGTTGGCCAAGAGAAAGCGCCACCGCCAAGTGTAGTTCTCTAGTTGAGTTCATGAGACAGCGCCTAAGTCGATCACGTTAGCTGGGCTCTAAGGACTCTTAATCCCCACAGAATAAATTCTTTTGATGAAATAAATGTTTAATAACTTTAAAACCCTTGTTTTTGCAAACTTAAAATTCTAGATTGGATTAGTGATAGACTTGTTGAGCCAAAAATACTCAAGATAAATTAAATGCTAATGGAGACCAAATCAAGCAATAAGTTGTTTTTCCTTACTAAGGAGATACAAAATTTGAATGTGTAATATTAAAAAAATACAAAAGTGTTAAGAAACCCTTATATTGGCCAGAAGATTCACTATAAAACCAAGATCATTTCACCAACCTTTCGATATCATCTACTGCGTAGCCATCAATAACCTTCAGCCCCATACACCAATTGATGAGAAAGGGTCGATAGTCAAACCCTCTGTGATGGCTAAGGAAAGGTCCAATTCATCTTGGTTCAACAATAGATTTACAAATAAACAATTACTATTTAAAAGGGTGTCAATTGTCTCATAAAATTAAATTCAAGAATGATTCCAGGTTTTCCAAATTAAAAATTTCCAGTTTACTTTCAGTTTCAAGATTTACTGAATCTATGGAAGGTGTCACTATAGCCAACCAACATATCGACCTATGTGTTAATAAGAAAACCGATCAAATGGAAACAAGTTTGTTTCTGGCTAGAGGAAGCAGCGATTTTTAATGCACAAAATAATCTCAAAACAAGAAAGTTAAACAAAGAACCTTCAGGAAGCTTGTCAAACAGTTGGTGGGACATGTAAGAAATGTCAATAAAAGAGACCGGCCATCAGATGTGAAAGAAGAGATTAAATAGAAAACTTCATCTCATTTAACCTCTTGATATCAGTAATACTACAGGCTGCATTGTCTGCAGTGTCCGCAGTGCAAGAGGGGTCAGAAAAAGAAGCAAATTTTTTGGAAACACGTGAAAATCAGCCGGGTCTTTGTGCTGGACTGTGGTTTGAGAAATATCATGCAATGAAGGATGTCAAGGCTTAGTTTCATAGGGAAAATACACAGTAATTGTTTTGTCCCACATTAAAACTTAATTTTAACATTCATTTTAGTTTTTAATTTGTAAAACCTTTAGTCTTTACTACATTTACCGATTGAATAAAAAACTTGATACAAGCTGGTGTAGCAGTGGTGGCAGTGTGGTGGCCAACCTAACATATTACCGCCATGGCCAGCAGTGCTGACTGTACAACCTGACAGGGACAGTGCTCCATAAACAATGATGAGCTGTCTCAGAAACAGCTGTGGCCAGTTTGTAGTACAAAAGTTATATGGCCAGCCAATGTACAAAGGTTTAGTCATACTTTATACTGCATAATGCTAGTATGTAAGGATACACAGGTGTGCCAGTCATGGAGACGCAAGGGTTGCCAGCAATGGAGAACTCCCTCAGGTTGACCAACCGTACCAGGTGAGAAACATGATTGAGATCAGTCAAGTTGTTGGCTGCCAGGGTGAGAGTGACCAGACTGGTAGGTAGGTACATCTCACAATGCGGCAACCCTCCTATGTGATTCTTGTGTAGAAACAGTTGCTGTAACATCACAATATAATGCAAGCTCAGAATAACCAATTGTACCAATTAAATCGGCAGATTGCATTATTAAAGGTTATTCTGTTTCAAGAGCACTTAGTGATTCAACTAAGACATCTCTGGAATCTGTTTTTACTCTGAAAAATTTTAGGATGATGTTTTTTAACTACCTTGAGAGGAATATTTAGTCTTCATACGATAGGAGGTAGCCTAATTCACAATGGTAATTTATGGAATTTAAAACAGCTTTCTTCCGAGGTATAAAATTATAAATTAAGAGCTTACTTCCTGTTTATTCTTGTCTCTAGAGTCAAGTGAACATTATTGCACAACCAGGGTTAAGAAAGAAAAGTTCAAGTTATAGCTCTACTAATCATTCCCAAGGGTCCTATTTTATTGGGGTCCTATTCTTATTGTTGAAGAGGGGGAAGACCCAGACTGGTTAGCAGACAAGATTTAGTGCTCCTGATTTATTCATTTTCTAGTGTGTAAATATTGGTTTTCTTGAAATAGTTTTTACAAGTTCTTATTCGGTTTGAGTCAGTGAACATATACATCAACCTTAGATATTAGGGTGCCAAAGGACTAACAAGTGTAAAAAACTGTTAAATCTACCTGCATAGATTAGTAAAAATATTCCAGATCTGGTTATCAACTCAGATAAGAAGGGTCAGTGGTTGGACTTTGGTCACCCTTATCTACACTGGGCTCACAACAATTGCCTAATATTGCAGAAGGAAACTGCTTCATTATTACTTGTTGACTGGGATCTCTAAATAATCTTAAATCCCAATTTTCCCTGTTTTGGGATTCTTTTGTAACTTTATCCCTTTTTTCCCTATTCTGGGTATTTTTTATTAAAATTTTGTTTTCTTCACAAGGTTTTATGGTTAACATTTTAAATACAATTGTCAATAAATGCAATAACATTTTGACTATAAATCATGGACAAAACAGAAAATAAATTCAAAACTGGTGATAGGGTTTTTGCAAAAGTGAAAGGATATCCCTATTGGCCAGCTAAAATTTGTAATATTGATTCATCAAAAAACCTGAAGAAATATACCGTTGAATTTTATGGTACCAAGGAAGTTGGTGTGGTCAAGGAAATAGATATCTGTACATTTAAGGAAAACAAGTCCCGGTATGGAAATATTAAAGAAAGAAATTCAAAATTTAACGCAGCAATGAAGGAAGCAGAGAAGAGTTTTGAGACAAGTGTTATTGGTAGGAATAATAGCAGCATGTCAGTGAACATTTCAACAGAGGTTATTGACAGTTTGAACTCTGTAAAACCACATATCACTAGTACCCCTATAAACAAAACACAGGATCAGTCGTTACAATTGTTAAGTTCATCTGAAAGCTCAAATACACATAACAGCAATGTAAACAACACCGTTACATCTGTTGATAAGGAACTGTTTCTCACACTGCCTGACAGGAAAGCAACAACCTTAGAAATTTTAGGAAATAAGTGGCTCACAGATGAATCGATTAACTTTTACTACCAGCTATTAGCTTCAACAGTACTCGATAAAACACAGATATTTTTAATGAACCCAATTATTTCTCAGGCTATTAAGTGTCTCAATGACTTTGAGCATTTACTGAATAAAGCAGAATTAGAGAAGAAAACACATATTTTCATCCCAGTAAATGACTCTCCAGCTGTTGATATACCGGGAGGTTCTGGCTCTCATTGGAGCTTGTTGCTTTACGTTGCAAAAAGTAAAGAGTTTTATTATTTTGACTCTTTAGGACAGTCTAACTATGATCGTGCAGTAAAGATATGCTCAGCATTACAGAAGCACCTCAGCAATAAAGAGTGCAGTATTAAACCTGTCAATGTCCCCCAGCAAATCAATAACTACGACTGCGGTATTTATTTGCTTATTTTTACTGAAATCATTATTCAGGCCATTCAGCTGGAACATAATTCATCAACTGAGCTACAAACTATCTTCCCTTCTATATTGTTAAGTGATCTTATTCTCAAAAGAGCTCAATTAGCAATGTTATACTTTAACCCAATGCCCAGTGTAAATGTGAGCAACATTTGTAATATGATGGTTAAAATTGAAAATCCAGAAAAGAAAAAATTGCAGCTCAATATTCAACATCCCGAGCCTTTATGGGAAGTACAGCGATCTAGACGGAAGACTCATCAAATAACTCAGGCTAAGAGTGTAAGCAATATGCCCGCAAGGTTATGTGCTGATTTTATAAACCCTACAATTTGCCATAACACTTATTCCGCCCTTTCCGACCGTACAGAAACTCCGACCAATGATTCTCCAAAAAACAGTGTGCAAGGAAGCTTTCAAAGAACTAATAAGAAAGTTAATCAAGGTGGCTCCACAACAAAAATTACACCTAAAAGCACTCAAACCCTCAGTACGCCAAGAGTAACTGTTTTCGGTGACAGTCATGCAAAAAACTGTACACCACTTTTGGAAAAGATTTTTCAACATAAAGAAGCCTGCGTTAGTGCAAACACGTATCCCGGTGCTCCGCTCTCTTATGTGTACAGACAGGCTGCAAGCTTTGTCACCTCTTTTAATTACACTAAGAGAGATGCCATTATCATTGTAGGAGGTACAAATAGCACGGACAAAAAAGAAGATGTTGGAAAACTCTTGGAAGATTTCATACCAAAAGTTTGCCAGACTAACATTATCCTTACAACGATTCCATACAGATATGACAATCCTAGCCTTAACAATAAAGTGTATAAAGCAAACCAAGAAATCTATAATATCGTGAAGAAACATAAGGATGTGTCCTTTGCGCCTATAAACAATTTGCTGACCCGGGAACATTTCACTAAACATGGTTTACATTTAAACAACCGTGGTAAACACCTTTTGTGTACTACAGTGGCTCTTCATACAACAATAAAATTAGAGCAATACCAAGATGGCCGGCTTATGTCTGTATGTCACCGAAAGTCAACTTCATCCAAGACCATGGGCACAAGACCAACACCAGGAGAGGACACCCCCAGGACAACACGCTTAGAACAGGACATTCCAATATCAATAACAAGCCCTTCACACCTCACCGGCAGAGCATCCTCAGGTTTAACATCGCATGTCCCATTCCACGAGATGTCTTCTCCTTCAACCGAGAAGTTAGATAGTGTTAACAGTGCCTCTAATCAAGATGAAATTGTACATAATATGTTAAATAGTTCTGAATTGTTGAGGGAATTGACTAGTCCACAGTTGTCAGCTGTAGAGGCATCAAAACCACACTCTAACAATGATTTTTTAGACCAGGTATAAACAAAGTAAATGAACCTCTTATTTTTCATTTGAACATACAGGGCTGTACAGACAGCCTAAAAATAAAAGAGATGGAACTTTTGTTTGAAACTTTTAATTTAAAGCCAAAATTCATATGTATTTGTGAGCACTGGCTCAAAGATGGCAGCTGTGGATTGCTTAATTCACTCAATAACTATAAATTAGCTAGTGTTTTCAATCGAAAAGATAAAATAAGAGGTGGTTCATGTATTTTAGCTCATAAGTCTTTAGATTTTAGTGTACGTTTAGATATTGAGAAATTTTCAATTGAGGAAAGTTTTGAATGTGTTGCAATAGAAACTAGAAGCTTATATTTTCAAACAAAGAAACAACTCATTATTATCAACATTTATAGAAGTAGTAATTTAAGCTCTTTTTTTAGTAATCTTGAAAAACTTCTCTTTCATATTTCTAAAGAATTGACTAGAAAAATTGTTTGTATTTCTGGTGACTTCAACATAAATACTTTAGCTAAAGAAGGTCAAGAGAGTAACAATAAGAAGGTTTTCCTAGGAATTCTCAAATCATATGGCTTATCTGTTTGCATTGATTCTCCAACGAGAATTACTGATAGTAGTGCAACCTGTATTGACAACATTATTACAAACATTGACTTATCTGAATTGCATTCACAAGTAATTAATTTAGGTTTTTCAGATCACACAGCTCAATATATTTCTACTCTCTTTACAACAACAAAAAAATCGAACTCAACAATTAGAAGAAGAGTTTTTAGTCAGATTAACATTGAAAACTTTTGTAAAGCACTTGACCAAACAAATTGGGACAGTTGTTACTCGTTTAATACAGCAAATGAGAGTTTTAATTGTTTTTTTAATTATTTCTATCTGGCATTTTTGGAGGCATTTCCAGTTGTAACAAAAAAGATATTGTGTGAAAATAAAAGTAAGAATGACAAAGGTTGGATAACAGATGATTTAAAGTTATTATGTCAAAAGAAAAGAGATCTGTTTGAAAATTGTAAGATGTCTACTAACACAAAACTTTGGAGAGATTACAAGGATCATTGTAAAGACCTACGCAAAAGAATTAAGATTTCAAAGAGAAACTATTAACATTCAGTTATATCTAAATCTGGAAATGTGACCAAAAGTTCTTGGAATGTAGTGAAAAAAGAATTAGGCCAAAAAAATAAAGACAGTCAAATATCTGAGCATGTGATTAAATCTTCGATTGTCAAAACTCCTTCTGCAATTGCTAAACACTTTAATGATTTTTTCTCTAAAATTGGTGACAATATCACAAAATCTCCCGCCGCTGAAGCCATTAATTTAGTTAGATGCAAAACTTCTGATTGTTTTAAATTTAAATTAGTAAATGAAAAAGATGTTCTAGATGCCATTAAGTCTCTGAAAAGTAAATATTCTGCAGGGTGGGATGAAATACCGGCCCCTGTAATTAAAGCTGCTGCATCTTTTATTGTTAAGCCTCTTACTTTTGTTATAAACAAAAGTCTAGGAAATGGAGACTTCCCGGAAAAACTTAAACACTCTACAGTGATTCCTATCCTTAAAAAAGGAGATAAAAAGTCAATTGATAATTATAGACCAGTGGCCTTGTTACCTGTGCTATCTAAAGTTTTTGAAGAAGTGGTACTGAAACAAGTTGTTCCATTTTTTGAGAAACATGTTTTACATTCAAATCAGTTTGGATTTAGAAGAAATAGTTCAACAACTCAAGCCATGTTTAAATTAATAACAAATGTTTTGGACACCTTGGATAGGTCGCAGAGCACTGCTGGTGTGTTCTGTGACCTGTCCAAGGCTTTTGACAATGTTAGACATGATATTTTGTTAAAAAAGCTGGAATGTTATGGTATGAGTAGGGAGGTTGTCCTGTGGTTCGGCAACTACCTCCAAAATAGGTTGCAAAAAGTAAAGATTAATACCTTGAATGGAAACTCAGTATTTTCTGAATGGAATAAAGTACACTTGGGAGTTCCTCAAGGTTCAAAGGTAGGGCCATTCTTGTTCTTAGTTTATGTCAACGATTTGTTTTCAAATGTAAATTCAGATTTAATTTTATTTGCAGATGATACAACAGCAATAGTCAAAGGTAAAGACAAAAATGAATTGGCAGTTAATATCTCTTCCTCTGTTCAAAACATCAGTTTCTGGTTGAGCAAGAACGGTCTAAGTTTAAATCATGCCAAGACTAAAACATTAGAATTTTCCGCCTCCTCAAACCGGTCCAAAGAATTAATTTTTGCAGTTCCCAACACCAACATTGACCTTCCTGTCTGTAAATCAGTAGATTTTCTTGGACTGACAGTTCAAGATAATTTAAAATGGAATAACCACTGTGACCATTTATATGCTAAACTAGATAAAGCTATGTTTAATCTCCGAATTATTAGAAGAATTTGCGATGACAAGACAGTGATGTTAGTATACCATGGTTATTTTTTATCAATTATGTCTTACAGTTTGTTGTGTTGGGCAAATTCACCTTCTAGCAAATATATCTTTAAACAAAAAAAAAAGGCCATCAGAGTCATTGCTGGCATCAGCTCAAGAAAATCATGTAGATCCAGTTTTAAAAAATTCAAACTTTTGACCCTTCCTGCTCTTTATATTTTACACTTGGCACTTTTCATTAAAAACAACCTTTATTTATTTGAAAACTGTAAAAAAACTCATAGTTATGAAACTAGACACAAACAACTTTTGGAAATTCCAAGCCACAGATTAGCTTTGTTTCACAATGGACCCTATTATCAATGCATACAAGTCTACAACAAATTGTCCTTTTATTTCACAGACCAGTCTTTGAGCCTTAATAATTTTAAAAAGAAACTTTCAGAAAAACTGATTGCACTTTGTCCTTATGACATGAATTCATTTTTATCCTGTCAACTGTAATCTTAATATTTGTATATATTTATTATGTGTAAACTATTATTATAATGCATGATTTGTACTGACATGTCACATATTCATTGCTGATATTCAGCCTCTGTATTATGAATTTTTGTGATGAATAAATTGATTTGATTTGATTTGATTTGATTGTATCTCAATCTCTCAAACATTAGCGTTTATCCATCATTGATTGATACCATAGCATTTTACAATATGTTTAGTGTAGTTCTTCAATTACTTCACCAAGTTATGCTTTGGCTTTCTGTTGTCTTTTTAATGTAGTTTTTACTAGTATATCAGCTAGGAGTTAGCACTATCTGGGTCCAATAGTACATACAGCTTTCTGTTCCTAATTGGCTTATATATATTATTTATTTGGTTGAAAAACTTTGTCTTGCAGTTAATAGGCTACATCAATGTGGCATCAATCATAGGTGCCAAAATGCCTGTGCACTGAGTAGGAAGTTAATACAGTAGAACCTCTTTAATCCGAACCCCCGTAATCCGGACATCCACTAATCCAAACGCCGCAATTCCACCGCGGAGGCCGTTTAACGCCGCCAGTGAGTGGGAGCGTTGATCCTTCACCGAACGGGCTACAAGGCCGACGACGACGTCCTTCATTGAACGCACTATACAAATGTGCGTGAACTAAGTCAATGACCTCTCTCCTCTCCCACTCATGACACTACAGTCTGCAAAACTGTTCTCCGCACTACTGTTTCTGCGCTCAGTTGCTCTCCGTTGTCTCAGAGTACTACATGTGTTGTTTATTGGAACGTGTATAATGTGTTAGTGTACATCTACTGTTTGGTACAGTACCTTAGTTATAGACTACGTACAGCATCAGTATAGTGTTAGGATTGTTTGTGATAACAGTGACCGAATACAGTAAACTAAAATGTCATCAAAAACATCCCTGAAACGGAAACATAACACTTTAAAAATTGAAAAGAAATCATTGAAAGACTTAAGAAAGGTGAAAGTGGTGCTTCGTTAGCCAGAGAGTATGGTGTAGGTAAGTCAACAATTACTGGCATTAAAAACAAACAATATGCCATAATGCAATAGGCTACTCTTGTAAACAAGACAGTAATGAAGGGCCTAAAAATAGGAAAACCTTAAAAACTCGAACCTCGAAAATGAAGAGAATGTACAGGAAAGAATTGCTTCGGCGACTCTTATTAGCAGAGAGAGACGAAGAAAGTGTGATTGCGTTCACTAAGAAATTAAACCTTAAGGACTGTTGTTATATTCTGGTTGATTCTTGGACAAGTGTAACAGGGGACAATCTAGCGAATGCCTGGAATAAGCTATGGCCTAAGCCTTTAAACAATGAAGTTGGAAATGAAAACTTTATTGAAGAAGAAGACTCTGAGATCATCGATGATATTGTCGATCTTTGTCAGGCTATTCCTGGGTTTGAGGAGTGTGACGTGGCTGATGCAACCGAGTGGATCAACAGTGACAAGAATGATCCAGGATAACAAATTTATAATGAAGATGAGATTCTTTCTGTCGTCACCGAGGAAAACGAATCTGATGACAGCAGTGGAGAAGAAGAAACTCTTGATTCTGGACCATCCCATGCTGAGGCGTTTACTGCATTAGAGACGGCAATGAACTGGTACAAAAATCAATCTGAATACTCTTTACCGCAATTGATGGTCTTAAAGAAAATTCAAGACTTGGCAGCCAAAAAACGCACTTCGACATTAGTTCAAAGGAAAGTGAGTGATTATTTTAACATCTAGTTTAACGACTTTGTTTGATTAGCTCATTGATGAACTCTATACACAGTACAGTACGGTACTGAAGTTCATTATTGTCAATTGTATTTATGTACTGTTATCGTAATTGTTTCTAATGTATAATACACAGTACTGTTTCTTCTGCTTTGTATTAAACACTTACTGTATTAATAAAAATTGTATTTGACTCTATAAGGCATTTTTCACTTTTCCCGTAACAATTACGATACGTTTCAGCCACGTTTTAGCTATTGTTATATAAAAACAAAAATATGTTCTGTAATCCGAACAATTCAATAGTCCGAACGACCCCCGGTCTCAGTTAGTTCTTATTAAAGAGGTTCTACTGTACTTATGGCTAGTTTTTAAACAGTTATACGTAGAACTCTTCATTTCAAAACACATCAGATAACATAAATTTAACAAAACTATGAAAAACTTACCTTGAGATGAATCAGGTGAGATAGATTGGAAATATGGGAAATGCTGTTCTCCGACAAGGATAAATATTCTAGATTTGTGTTCGTGTGTAAATGCTCGATAGTCTGAAAAAGTTACAATATAAACATTTTGTACCATTCAAGATGCAGTATCATTCATAGACACAGCCTAAACTTTCACATGCTCAGTAAATATTTGCCTTATCAACTAAATATCATCAGAAAAATCCTGAGTAGCTATAATCTTTAGGTAAAAAAAGATTCAATTCTGGACTACTGAATTTAAGTACGTAAATGAGTAGCAAATTTGAATTCATTCGATAATGTTTGATTTTCTGAATTATAATACTAGATTCATACAATAGTGACACTCCAGTACAAATAGCAGCAGTATTTTTCTAGCCTAAACCAGTCATTAAAACCAAAGTGGAAAAATCTTTAATAACGTTTCCTGACTCACTTACTTTAATATTGTTCCCTGACAGGTTGAGCCATTTGAGGTGTTGAAGGTCCTTCACTCCCTCTATACTGAGCAGGTTATTGTGCGAGAGATCCAAGCGTACGAGGTGGTGCAGACGATTGACACTGTGCATGCGTAACAGCTGATTGTGATTTGCACTCAGCTGCAAAATAAGACAAGTTTGTTGACAACAAAGACTCAACTTTGTCTTTGGATTTTTTATGACTTTTCTGAAGATAGTAAGAAAGGGTTATGAATACCACACCTTAAACTATTTGTGGTAAATCTCTGAAACCTTTTCCAGTATTCAATGTGCAAGGTCTAAATAATGAGAAATGGGATGGGAAAAAATGATTTTTTGAGGTTAGGGTCACATAGCCTTTTCTTGTGCTAAACCTGGAATCATGGCTAAGAGAATTTTGTTTGATTTTTGAATTTGTTGATAGCAGTAACCTGAGAAAAAGTTACCAGGTGCAGCATAAAAAAGCGGATACCGTATGTCTAGCTATTACGAGGATTGCCTGTAAATTAAGGTTTTCATGGAGCTCCCGGCACAAGCAAGCAAGCTACTTCAAATCTGAGACCAACATGTTCCTTACCGCTACAACTATAGCTCGTTCCCATCCCAATGGGACAATTAGTCTGGTCATAGTATTTAAAATTGTTATGAAAGAAAATTTACTCTAAAAAAATTTACCAAATTAATTGAAAATTGGCCAAGTTTGAATCAAATAGGCTCCTGTGGTTAGGTTTCGGTAGGAAGGGGGTCAATCCCTGGCGATTACTGTTGCCAGTTGACAGATGTGAAAGCAAAAAAGTCGTTATACGTAGAAAGTGTGCAAAAGTGGCTAAGGGAGTGTTGAAAAAGTAGTAGCCTATATATTTGCAGGACGGGGCCAGAAGCGGTTGTTCTACAGTTTCCATTGTGACACTGATTGATTTTGAAGAGGTTTTGATTGCAGATTGGCATGTTTCAGATTTCCAGGACTGACTGGAGTAGCCTAGTTCTTGATGGGTAGTCATTAAAATTATTAAATCATTAACTGGCAAATAAAAATCTCATTCTCATTAGTTTGATAATCTCTCTTGTTCAGTCACACCAGGATCTGCATGAAAAACTCAATAACATTGGGCAAATATGACTGATGAACAAAGGCAGTCGGTCTACAGCATGGATATTGAGAAAATGTTAAGTCCACCTCCTAACTCACTTAACCCTTGGGCACGTTTTCTACATCCAAACGCCTTACTCCATTCACATCTATAAAATGACAATGGATTTCAAAAGCCGTTGACAACTAGGGCCTAGGACCGTATAAATCTTAAACATCATTATTTGGCAGGAGCATACATTTTTTTCACAAGTTTCTTTATGGCCAGACTAATTGTTCCAGCTAGAAGACTGAGGTGAGAACCAGCTAGAAGTCAGTAGCATGACTTTTTTGCTCCCAGATTTGTACTAGCTTGCTTGGTTGCGACAGAAGCTTGATAGACCATTTTGATTGACTAAATAACAGTTGACTAGTGTTTTATGTGTTTTGATTGTGAACTTTCTAGACACCTCTTCAGACAAGAATAGTTCCCGGATCTGGCGGTGGCATACGCGCAGAAGTGTGAATAGGCCTAGCCTAATCTATTAAGATAAACTTGGACCACAAGGAGACAACAGGTAGTTAAAACTTTTTATTTTTAATTGACTTTCTTATTATTACAATAGACCAAGGCCTATCCTTATAATACACAAACTCAACTTACTTCAATTAAGTTAGGAAATCCATCAATATTGTCGAGCCTCTGGAGCTCATTACTGTCGAGAGACAGTGAAGTGACTTTGTGCGCATCTTCAGGACAATGACCTCTAGTGAGCTTCTTGAGGCCTTGGCCAGATAAATTGAGAGTGTGAAGCTCATCTGAAACAGCATAAACATCTACAACCTATAATTGAAGAGATCCATAAAAAAATAATAACAGGCAACGCTATCCTCTGGGTAAGTTTTTTATATTTTAACTTAATCTACACTTTACTTTACGTCCTACACTCATGAAGATATTGAAAATATTGATCGATATATCAATTATTCGATAAGTTATGTCATTTGGTATGTTAGGTAGGGTTAACCTAAACTAACTAACCAAACGATATATCAAATGAAACAATCGATTGATCTGACTAACCTATAATCGATAATCTATTGATAGGTAAAATTATGATAATCCGAAAACTGTGACGATTGAGGGATGTATTCATTCAAACCTCCCCTCCACAATACAGAGATATCCTTACGTAGAGATCGGCCTTAGTCACTAACAAGAATACAAAATCACGCCACTCATCCTACACTCATCTCCATTCATACTTTGGCTATACCTGCTTTCAATGAAAAAGTATAAAGTACCTATTAAACAGTATATCCAATAAGGGCCACATAGGCGTAAGCTACAAATGTGAGGAAAAACTAAGCCCTAGCACTAGCCCAATACAGGCCTAATAGGCTACTACCAGTCCGGTACCTTATTTGTTACCTATGTCTTACTATAAGAAGGATGTATTTTATCTTGAAATTTTACTCATAAGATCAAAAATTAGCAATTTATGTCCCTATTGTATTAAGAAAACTAAGTTTAGGCCTAGGCTGTCAAAAGGTCAATTGGATTTATTGGTGCTATGAATCCCAAACAATTTTGACCAATAGGCTACATTGCTGAAATAAAATGGCTCAAACACCAAAATAGTTGGGTAATTTAAAATTATAATCATCAAGACTACGTTTTTACTTACCACTATTTAAAATGCTGTGGTCCATGTTGACAATTTTAGGACACTTGCAAAATCTCAAATTTATCTTTATTTGAAGGTAATAAATAACTAATTAAGCTTTGAAATAAAAAAATACATTCTATTATTCTTGAGCTTGGCAATAATCGATAGAAGTATTTCAATTTATTTCGTCACAATAGTTAAAACAATAATTGACTTAGTATTTTATGACAAAATCCTCAAAGGAGGTTAGAAAACAATTTTGTGGACATAGGCGTTCCGCGGTCTTCGAAAAACAAACACCAGCTGGAGCTGACTAAATCTACTATTACTATTTTGAACTCTGACATTTGTCAACTCTCAACTCACATTTTCACATATAGCCGCGCTGTGCAGTTCAGCTGTGGAGCGACTGACTGTTGATGAATTAGTCGTAGATTGCATGAAGCCTTCATGCAATCTACGACTAATTCGAAGCATTGCCTTATTTATTTAGTCATTTACTATCAATTAATTGTTATCAATCAAACAAATTGAAATGCCCTATCTTTATGATGTGCAAACTACAAACACAGAAAAATTCGTTAAAACATTGAACGAATTTGAAAACTTCAATCAATTTCTTCTCTCAGTCTATAGTTCCCGATACGAAGAAACATAACCCTTTTTTTAACAAAATTTGTTTTATTTGATAATGGTAACTAATAGTTTAATAATACAGTTAATAATATACACACTGGTACTGCATTTTTAACTTGTGAAAATTAACACTCTAATATTAGTAAAATTAACAAAGCTTTAGTAAAACAGGATTTTAAAAAGAAAACTTATAAATAATTGTCTTCGTCAGAGGAGGGCGTGTCCTAAACAAGTCGATGGAAATCTTCGTTCACCTAATTTTAGCCTCCTTTGCTTTTACCAGATCTGCAGGATCAGTGCCTTTCCACTTCATAGAACAGTTCTTTGCTATAGAATACACACAAATCAAGTATTCGTGAGAACACATAGCCCCCAAGATATCGTCTGATGTATCAACCAAGATGTATCTATCAAGATCTCTCATTGTGTTTACAAAGCTTCTCAAGTAAATCTTTTACACGTAAAATGTTGACGCACCCAACAAGTGTGCGTCGCTTAGTTGTCTTAAAAATTATGGATTAATTTATTGAGAAATAACTTTGTGGAGATTTTTTTAGATAGGTATCTAGGTGTCAATACGACCTTCACATTTTTCTACATCTATGCCCACAAACTAGTTAGGTACCTACTTATAAAATTAGTCTCGGTTCGAGTATATTTGTATATAATAATATAGTTAATTTATTTTTTGACATCAAGAGTGTTTTTTTTTATTTATTAAGTTGGGCTATTTAATGTGATTTGTTATTATTTAAGATAATTCATAGTTAACCTTAACCAACCATATTTTTGAAGTGTAATCATGAAGTGGCCTATTTCACATCCTAAACACACCTATTTCACATCGTAGTATGTTGCTAACGTAACTTACAATGTTTTTCTCTATAGGGAATTGAGTGTTATTATGGATGTTTAAGAATTTAACAACTATTGTTCTAAAGCTAGGTCTACTGCATTTTGTCTCGACTCTTGAGCCATAGCCATATGTTACGATGAAGGCGGGAGGCGACAGACTTCTACTAAAATGGCGGATATGTTTGCGTGACTTGCTTGGTTCTACAAATTAAGTCCTCAGCTCGGCTCATAGAGTGAGTGTGGGAGGGATACCGACACACTTCATACACCTACGACATTCTTCCAAATCATAGCTTTGATTATACGAATAACAAGCGTACTATTTTTAGAACTGAAGTTCATCACGACATATTTAAGGTTTTATGTAGATTAGGCTATATAAAGTACTAATTTAAAATGTTTCACTTCATCATCAAGTTGCAATGTGCAAGTGAAATTGCTATGAGACATACAAAAACGTGTTTGTAAAAATATTACAGTACTGTATATTGTTAAACATAAATCCAACTCCACTCCCCTTACTTGAATAGATTTTTTTACTACTAGCCCGAAAGTGACACATTTCGGAGCCCCCCAATAGATTTTAGTGACGAGTAGTGAACCATACTTTTCATTCACGATGCAAATAATCATACAAAGCTTCTTGGTTTTAACATAGATCAACCATACCCCATTAGTTTTAATTAATAAATCATTTTTGTTCCAATTTTTTTGTTTAAAAATTAATTGTCAATTTCTAATTTTACAGTCCTCTACTCTTTTTTGAAAAAAAATGCTATTAAATAAAAAATAAATAATAAAACAATAGAACGTTATTCCAGTGTTTAGTGATTTTCTTTCAAACTTTCATTAGTTATTTGTGCAACTAGTGAGCAAAGGGAGCAATTGACTCACTCGAGAGAAATATTTACTCACGAGCCGTAGGCGAGTGAGGAATGGTTTCTTGAGTGAGGCGATTGCACTTTGCACTCGAGTTGAACATTATATTTTTCCTACAGTAACCATAAAACAAATAAATTGGTAAAGAAACGTTACATATTTTTACATAGAAGTGAACTTGAATATGACATTTAATGATACAACAGTACAATAGCACAAGGGAACTGGTTTTGGGACAAGAAAAGTAATGTAAATTCTAAACCTATGCCGTTTAGATTTTTGTGAGGTGGTTGATTGAAGAATATCTACTGTTGACAGTGCTTAACAGCATTTTTAATTCTCAAACGTTACTTACTTGTTGTATTTCATGGAATTTTCTTATTGTTTATCACATTTGTAGAACATAATGTAAACGTTTATACAGAAATATAAATAGTACAGTAAATATAAGCGAAAAATTCCATAAACCTAAAAAATGGCAAGGAATTTGGTACAGATGTTGGGCCAAGGTCACACTAAAAAAACAGGCTGTAATGCTCGTCAAGCATGACGTCACGATAGGAGACGGCAATGACGTAATGTTTGCCGTTTGTGATCAGCTGCTTGTTTTAATCTTTCCTTGGAAAATAAATAAATAAATATGTCATTGCCGTTTGGGCGTACCTTCCTTTTGAAGATACTAAAAGTCCCCTTAAATTGTAGCTGTGCTATGGCCGCCATATTTGAAAATGGTGGCATATTTCTGTATTTTTGGCTAGACTTGCCTAATGCACTGGCATCCCTAGGAGTGTCCCTTCTGTGCTACAAGAGTTGATGTGTGCTCTGCACTGCCAATGGGTATCCTTAGTGGGTCATGAGGAGCCAGCCCCATTGGTCCTTTGTTAGCAAGTGTGGCATGTGGATGCAGAGGGCAAGCTCTGTATTGCGATGGGCGACCCCCTGCAAGTCAGGTATCCAACGCTGGGCAAACGGACGTCGGGCTCCGGGGAACTAGAGCAGGGCTTTTGCCCCCTAGCGTATACTCATTCCTCACAGTTCCGGGTCTTTTCGCACGATGCGCTGAAAAGACACAAAGATATGAATTGTTTTCCACCCCCTCCCCCCCCCCCAAAAAAGAAGCTGGAACCGGAGCGGAACCATTTCCGATTCAGTTCTAAGGTCCAGAGATTGCCACCGGCAAGAAAGTGCATACATTTGTCAATTGGATTGAGGGGAGAGACCGGTACAGGGAGATAGGAGGATGGAGTTTGATCTGGCACTGCTGACAGCTCCATTTCAAATCATGAAGGGAATCCCCTCAAGGAAAATCCACCTGTGTTCGTTCTCTGAACTGCAGAATTTTGGGCAATAATTCAACGCTTCTCTACCTGAAGAGGAATCTAACCTCCTAAACCAGGTAATGGGCCTCATGAAGAGCATGATGGGAATTGAAAGTACTAAGTCAATTGGTAAAAAAACCCGCTTCCTATAGGCACAGGAAAGTTTCACCCAAATCCATGAGTTGAAGTGCTTGAAGGCTCTGGTTCATGAACGTGAGCTAGTGAACCCAGCCTTGGCCCGAAACCTGATGGGGAGGCAACCAATGAAAGCGGGCAATTAGCTCACCATTGAGTACCTTTGCCTCGTATAAGTAGTCCAATGTTCAGGGCCACGCAGGTTTGTTCCACTCCAAACGGTGCCCCTTCCTGGTGTAAGTAACTTTAAGGACGCCGCTGCATCATCACTAAATGTGGATAGTTGTGAGAAACGGCTCAACCAGAATCAATAAGGAAAGCTGAGGTCGGCTCTAATAAAGCTTCGGCGGCCAATGGAGAAAGTAGCTGGCTTAGCTCCGGTAAAGTAGGTACATGGGAATGTCCCTACCATGTCAAAACAACCAAGGTTGAAAAAGCCCGAGCTGAATGAATCTTGATCAAGCCCTCGGGGAAGGAGTGATCTTTTGCTGAAGTACGTGGTGAGCTTAAGACCAAGGCCGAATTGAAAAGACGAAGACTATCACCAAAGCCAATGGTTGAAACAAAACGAGGTAAATCTGAACTGTGCTAAAAGCACTTAAAAGCAAACTCGACCACAGAAGGTTCCACCACTGTCAAACTCTCAGGAACCTGAATAAGTGCAGTTAAAGAGCTAAACCTTGTTGGATTTACCCTCAATACGATCATACAGTTCGTCAAGCACTACAAGAATGTGACGGAAAAGGCGAAAGCAATATTTGGAAAGCTGCCATGTCTCCAGCTGGAGGGATTACTGGAGGGATGGCAGCACTGGTAGGTTGGAGGGGTGATGCCCTGGTGGGAAGCTGTTAAACGTATCACGCCGAATTGCAACAATGCTTTACTTTATGGTTGAGTCAAACAATTAATTCTGTTAAACGGTTGTACAAATTTAAAGGTTCATTTTCAAAAATAAACGCAGGGATTAAAACTATAGAAGAATTTCAATGAAACGTCGACTGTCTCTGCCATCCCTCCAGCGCCTCGGGTGGACAAGCCGCAGTCCAGTGGTAGCAGTGAGGTGCCCATGACACTGCCAGAACTGAACCAATCACTGGTCGCTCTGCTGTGTCCAATGTGTCTAGACCACGATGATACTCCTCCCATCTACCAGTGTATGAAAGGCCACATCTTGTGTCAGAACTGTCATCCTCGTCCCATGTGTCGTTCACGTCACCCAGGCGACCGGAACAGTGTCATGAATGCTCGAGGGAGACTCTATTTCGTTGCACTAGTGCTGATATATTTCGCTGTCCTCCTCTGTGTCACGCTGACAGAAATAATAATCAACTAAATGATGGATGAACAACTATTGGAAGCGTGTCCCCCATAGTGACAGTGCAATTGGTTGCCCCACAT